AGAGCAGCTCCATCTGCTGCCGCTTCGTTGGGTTACAACACCACTCCCCAGAGCCGGCACCACACTGCTCGACGGAAACACAGCGCGGGGCTGCCGAGCTCCGGGCTCCGGCTCCGCTCCCGAGATGATGCCCCCAGCCTGGGACTGTCCCCTTCCTTCAGCTTCCCCAAAACAGGGCACAGGGAGAGGCAACCAGCGGTGGGATGAATGTTTCCCAGAGGCAACCAGCAGTGGGATGAATGTTTCCCAGAGACAACCAGCGGTGGGATGGACGGTCACACGTCGAGCTCTCCCCTTGCGTCACCGATGCTGGAGGTGACCCAGTGGTTTTGTTTGGTGACAGTTTTATCGAGGACACAGGCAGCCAGCGTGCCCTGAGGAAAGGGCCGTGGTGGATCCCTCACACGTCACCCTGCGCTGGACTTTGAGCCAGGCCTACGTACTTTTCTAGGAAGAGCCACCACGCTTTCCCTAAAAAAGGCAGCTGACGGGAGCGGGATGTTATCAAAGCCACTGGTTTTCTCCCAGTGAGGAAATTCCTCATCCCCAGGTCCTCCTCCTCACCTCCTTACAGCAAGGAACTTCCCCTGTGTGGACCTGTTTGTGCGCTGGCCACCAGCACCTGCACCCCACGGGGCTCCCGCTCAGCCCCACCAGCCAGGGCCTCATGCCTTGGCCAAGAAGTTGGCTCTCAGATGAGGATCAGCTCCAGGCCCACTGGTGGCTTGGCTGGTTTCCTTTAGAAAACCATGAGGAGACCACAGGATCCACAAGGCAGAGTTGAGGAGAACCTCAAGAGCTCAACTCCCTTTCCTGGTTTGCGTTACACCATTGCAAAGCCATCAGAACACAGGGAACCCACCATTCCCAACAGCCCATCTCCCTGCTTCCCCATCTCCCTGCTTTCCCATCTCCACCCTCAAAGCACACCTGTAGGACCTGGCCCATACCTGCCACCCAACTGGCAGACTTTCTACACATGAAGCGCCTATCTTCTCACCTCTCCACTAAATAACATCACCCTTCCCTCCTGGCAGCTCACAGGCCACAGACCTCTGACCACCCTCCTCTGGACCTGCCCTGAGTGACCCCCATGCTGGTGGACATGCCAACAACCCAGAGGTTCCTCCAGTAGTCTCTGGTGTGTAAGCATCTGAGCTGCTTACACCATTCCTCCACATGACTGACACCGTGGCGAGAGTCCTCCAGCAACGTCCTGTCCTCTGCAACGGTGGGATTATGGCAGCAGGAGCTCACTGGGGCTCTGATAAAACACTGCCTGGGACACGACTTCCCTTGCTCTCTGTGTGTAACAAGAGCTTTTCCCACCCGTGGAGGACAGAGCTACTGCTCACTCCACTCTGGAGCAGGTCAGGTGCCTTCAGAGACCACGCTCTGATGTCCACCACATCTGTGCTGCTTCCTCCTCCCAGCCTGAGGTCTCACCACAGCTGCTCTTGAGGTTGCTGCAGCCAGAAACCTTCCTTCTGCTTCTGCTTCTGGGAGGATTTAACCCATCTCTTTCATCCAACCCTCTCCCCACCTTTGCTCGAGCCACCACAGGCCCTCCTGGGCCTCCAGCTCTCCTGCCATGCCACCTGCTGAGGGTCTCACCTGTGCAGTTCCCGTGGTGAACGATGACTCTCTGGATCTCGTTGAAGTCAGCGACGTATTCAGACGAGTCACCCAGGCTGGTTCCTGGGAGGTCCCTCGGAGGGGAGACGGAGCCGTAGGGGCTCTCGCAGGCTGCCTCCTCATCCGGACTCTGGAAGCTCCCCTCCGACTGCCCCGACATCCCGTGCAGCTCGGGGTTTTCAGGGCTGTCTTCTGGAAGGAGCTCCTCCGTTTTGATCACAACCCTTATACCAGCTGCAGCAAAGAGAGATTCCCACCCACCGTCATTCCCAGGAGCCGGGACAAAGAAACAGCTCAGAACAATCCCAGCTCTGACTGCTGTCTCTGCTCGGTCACTTCTGCTCTCCCTTCCTTGGGAGGTCTCTGCCCTTCCACCAGCCCTGACACACTCCTGCCCCT